AATTCAATGTTCCACGTGGCAACTAGCCAGGAAAGTATAGTAGTTTGTGGCCGTTAATAGATTTTATCTCTAGTTTTATCGAAATATCCATTGAATATCAGAATATCGAATAATAATAATTATCTATTACACTCAACACAGGCACGGCTGTATGCTCAACAGAGAGAATATGGATCGTGGGTCGTGAATTGAAACTTTTCTCAAATAAATTTATTAATTACACAATCAAAAGATGGCATTCATTTCACTAGATGTTACGTAAAAATTAGTAAGCTGTGGGCGCCAGTCGGATATCCGACAGGAGGGGATTTCAAACAAATTAAACAAGTATACACGTATAAGATATAAATAATGAAATTTACTATTCAATAAATTGGTGATAAGTATAAATAATTATCTGGAGGAGAAGAAAAAAAAATATAGTAACAATAGGTTACCATAAAGTTCAGATCATAATATAGTAATATAAATTTAACACTCAAAATATTCTGAATCTCGAAATAATCGGAACTGATATTTTATACTCACAAAACAAAATGTATAATTACGTCACTGAAACGACCAACAAATTACAGACGAGTTGAAGACAAGGATTATAGCCCTTATTATTGACAGAGAACATTGAATATAGAATAAGTGCAAAACAATATTATTCCTTGAAAAAATGAATCTTTGAAGAGATTTCAAAATGTGATGATGTTAGATAAGTACACAATAATATGACCTCGGAAAATTTGCAGCTGCAGATTTTTACATTTTACCTTATACTATGTCGTCAGGTTATATAACGATTAGGTACGAAAAGTGGATTCGTAGTTCATAGATTCACTTTTCGATTCATCAATAAGTATAGAAAAATATGTATATAATGAAACACCAGGTTTTCTTTATTTTGTCGACCTCTCTTCCAGGATATGAAAAAAGTACTCACTCAGCTCGCTATAATTACGTTACCCAACAGTATGGACTTATCCTTGTCGTCTAACTACCATTTTTATAGTGTTGATCGTGGAACTGATGAGGTGGCTCGATGACGTAAATAGTTTATCGAGTGGTGGTTACGCAACAACCGGTGACGTGGACAACGTGTTGCCAGGTGACGTGAAGCAGCGTGAAGTTACGTCGAGAGTTTCGTGTTATGTATGGCTTCAAATGATTATTGTACTCATAGGTAGGCTTTTATGATCATATAAATTGTGTATAATGAGGTTATTAGTTGATAGTTAAAATTATTGAGAAAAAAAATATTTTCTTCTTTTCAGAGCGTTTAAATAAAAGCTATTTATCAAAAAGTTTTTTTTTACTTTTAATTTATTTTTAAATTTTTATTTATTGCTCGCTGGATTTTTCGATTCACTCTCAACGAGCCTTTTCATTTGATACCCATATTGTAGAAGTATATTGGAAATGACCATACCGCCATCTTGGATGGTCCGCCATAATGGATTTAGAATGACGTCACATCATTTTTCAAGTTACTCTCAACGAGCCTTTTCATTCGATACCCATATTGTAGAAGTATATTAAAAATAGCTATTCTGCCATCTTGGATAGTCAGCCATATTCGATTTAGAATGACGTAACATCATTTTTCGAGTTACTCTCAACGAGCCTTTTCATTTGATACCCATATTGTAAAAGTATATCAAAAATAGCTATTCCGCCATCTTGGATAGTCCGCCACATTAGATTCAGAATAACGTGACACACCTTATCGCGCATTGTCATTCAAACTAAACGTGTATACAAAATTTCAGCTCAATCGGTTGAAGATTTCTACTTCAAAATTGAGTTCAAAGATACCACCCGAACATACATATACATACATCCATACAAACATACAATGCAAGTTAAATAAAAGCTTTTAATAAAATACCTTATTAATTGGTTTCAACTAATGGACTCATTAGGATAATCAAATAGTAAGAGGAATTCTTGAAATGTTTCAAAAAAATATGAATAATATTTTTTATGAATATATTCTACAGGCTATGCCATTTTCGTTCTGAAGATCAAATAATCAGAATCGCTCATTTTCACATTATATCCTGAATTACAGCGATATTCTTTGCTTGCCAAGAATTAATCTCTACATACCTACATACACAATCCGAATGAATCAATCGTGTGAATCAAAACTTTTATACCATATTTCCTCCTTAAAATTAGGTGCGTGTGTGGTCCATGGACATGCAATAAAGTGTTTTTTTATCTCGAAAACAATGCGAGATGGGGCAATGCCTTATGAGATAAAAAAGCTGTAACACCCTAGGAGATAAATCCGAAAAAAATATTGCAATTACAGAAAATGTAACTGGCGTACTTTTCCTTAATAATATTGGTAGTTGCCTCTCCGAACGCCACTGGGCTTGATAATGTTTTTCTATTAATATATAAATAACCTTATCTAAGTTCCAGGGAATTGGGTGAAGCATGTCTGAAAAAAAAAATTAAAAACCGATTCAAACAAGAATTTGTATTTTGAAAACTGAGCGACGAAAAAAAAACTATTCTACATTTTCGTTTTGACGTTAACCAATAATTCGCTCCTTTAATTTTGTCAGAGAGGTTAGGAAGCACCCTGTAGGTATAACACGTCAATTATAGCTAGTATTGTTGACGGTTCAAATTTCTGTTTTATCATTACAGCCTACTCCGATCATGGAATAGTCATACGAGTTAAACTCGTGATACGAATTTTCCTGGAAATAGTCGTCGATCGACATACTCCAGCTTGTTGCTTAAATTTCGCTCATGACATTGTTCCAAAACATCTCGCCTACGGCTCGATAGTTTCGATAGACAATGTTACTTGCGAAATTACTAGGCAACAAAGCTGTCGATAATAATAACAATCGCCAAAAATTGCCAGCAAAATAGTACCAACCATGCACTAGTGAAGAACTATGAATAAGTTCGAATATTTGAACTGTACAATATGTGTCCAGATTTTGATGCTTTTTCATGATATCTCAATTATCTTGGGAGATAGAACCTTACGGTTTTCGCGGTTTTGTGCCACTTTTTTGTGACACTCAAGATTGCCTTATCAGATTTTGTATAACTGTTTCCGTTCATGAAATACAGGGCGATTTTGAAAATTCATACTTTCTGGACCCCCTCTATGTCTACGAAGTTTCTCAGCGAAAATCTCGAATTAAAATCTTATTCCATAGAGAATTTCATGCAAAATCCAGTGGCGCACTTGATTTTTTTTCGGGGTATGGTTTTGGAGTTACGACAGAAACTTATTATTTTTCAAATGGAACACCCTGTATCTCATCAGCTCATAAAAGTCCATATTTTCTCACCTTCAACATGAGATATAATGTATAGATATAAAATTTTTGAAAATGCTCCGAAATGACTAAAACACCAATTAACTAACAAAACACAAAACTTAGGTACCTGATAGCAACAAATAAATAGTAATAAGGAGTTCATAATGCATGTAGAATAAGCACCTGATTGAATATTTAGCAAAACAATTGAGTTTCGTGATTAATCAGTAACTCATTCATTGAATTGTTCAAATTGATGTCCATTTTCCCTCACTTACTTTCTCAATAGATCTTAATGGATTAAAAATCATTGAAGGATGTCTTTGTTATTCCGGGAAAACTGCCTCTGTTTTGCATGAAGTTGTTCAAGATTACTGTATTAAGACGTATTCAGAAAGTGTGTCAATTGTTTGTTAGGAAAAATTGACATCAATTTGAACAAATCAAAGGATGAACTACTGAATAATTTCGAAATCCAATTATTTTAGGAAATATTTCATCAGGTGATTATTCTACACTATGAACTTTTTATTACTATTTATTTGTTGCTATCAGGTAGGTACCTAAGTTTTGTGTTTTGTTAATTTATTAGTGTTGGTATTGTTCTTGTCCTCTTCATGGAGAAATCAAAGGAAATTTTCCTTCAATTGGAACTTTTTTATATGAAAAATCCATAGCCGCCATTATTAAAATTCAATGTTTTAGTGATTTCGGAGCATTTTCGAAAATTCAATATCCATACAATATATATCATTTTGAAAGGAAAAAATATGAGCTAATAAAATACAGGGTGTTCCATTTAAAAAATCATAAGTTCCAGTCGTAACTCCAAAATGTAGTGCGCCACTGGATTTTGTGCAAAATTCTCTATGAGATAAGATTTCAATTTGACATTTCCGCTGAAAGGGGGTTCAGAAAGTATATAAATTTTCAAAATCGCCCTGTATTTTATAAATGAAAACAGTTAGGTGAAATCTGATTAGGCCATCTAAAGTTTCACAAAGAAGTGGCACAGGACCGCGAAAACCGTAAGGTTCTATCTCCAAAGATAACTGAGATATCATATGCAAAAGCATCGAAATCTGGACACACTATATAGGTACAACCTCAAAAGATATCCATCAATACCTACCTTCTTCCCTATCCTCCCTAGATACCCACCATGTTCCAAGAATCTGATAGGAATTCCCTTTTGTACGATCCAAAATATATAGAATCTCTCATCAATGACTTTTTTTCTGACAAAACGTATTGCTGCAAATTTTGAAACACCCTGTATATGTATTAATCGCTTCGCTAATCCTCATATCGCTACAGAGACTGTTTAGACAAACCGTAATCGCAACAAATACCTATACCAACTGAATACCGAGATAAAACACAATATAAAAATACTATAGGCGAAGGCCGATACAAAGCAAATATGCGAGGCAGTCGGTCGCAAGGTGAAAGAAATAGTTATTAACATTCATAACATTGTCAACGAGAAATGAACTAGTCTAGCGCAACGACACGCGAGAAAGTCAGCGAAAATATTATCCTCAGTACAACAATCGATACTCAATTCCGAAAACCCAGACTCTCGACCTTTTATCTAATCAATCGATACAGTGTCATGCAGTTTAAATGATAAATGATAAGATATTCTTGGAGTGACTGTGTTTGCACCTTGGGCGTTTAAGTAAAGTGGAAAGTATACGAGAGAAGAAACGAGAAGAAATGAAAGTTGTGGTTCGGACCGTGCAACACGAGTCCGCTTTGGAAGCAGTACCGCGCACCCGGGTCAGAGAGATCTTCCACTTGTTCAGCAAGGCGCAGGGAATCACTGAGACATGGTACTTCGGGCTGATGTACCGCGGAAGCGACAACGAGGAAGTTTGGGTGGAAGACTCAAAAAAGGTACGTTTGTGGTGGACTAATGCATTCGCAGACTGCAGACATACAGAACTAACACGCGAATGAAGAAACACGCAAATAAAAAAACACGCACAGACTGCATATATATATATTGGATCTTTCTTTTATTTTATTCAGACCAGGGAAGAATCCCTCTTATCCTGATATCTATTATGGAACAAAATAAAAACGGTATTGAAGTTTTATGCGAACAGCCCTTCTGCCCCAAATAAGTTTCATTCATTCTGAGAATTGAAAGAGATCGAACGGAAAAAATAAATATCAAAAACTTGAGAATAGTAAATTTGGTCATAATGTCGATATTTTCTCTAGTTTATGGACAATCTCGGTCTTTTGAACTTTGATTGATCACCTGGGTCATAATCAACTGCATTTCGAAGAAGCTGATTCTCATGAACCTCAGCTTTTTCGAAAGTCTTGATGTTTCGTTCTTTAATGACTGACACGATTGAAGGGAGTTTCAGATCCCTGGCGATCTGGTTATTCCGAACATACCAAGGAGATCCTGTCACCATTCTCGCGACTTTGTTTTGTAATGTTTGTAATCTGGTGATATGAGATTTAGCTGTGTGGCCCCAGACTACTGAGGCATACAGTAAAATTGGCCTGATAGCCATGATATAAATATTCAATTTTTGTCTCAAACCCAATTTACTTTGCCTGTTTAGAAATGGATACAGGGCTCCAATGGCTCGTTTAGCTTTAGAAACTTGCTGTTTGCTGTTCAATGTGCTGGGCCCAGGTGAGCTTTTTGTCAATGCACACACCTAAGTATTTAACTTGTGAAGACCACTCTAACTCATGACCATCCAGGACTATTCTGGTTCTGGGAGGCCTCCGCTCCCTTCCGAGTGCGACCAATTGTGTTTTTGTAGGGTTCAATTTGATCTTCCATCTTCGGAAGTACTCCTGAAGAGAATTCAGTGCGCTTTGGAGGTTCATAGCTGCTTGCTCGAAATTTGTCGAATATGCAAGAACTGCCGTATCATCAGCAAAAAGCGACATCTTGCACATCACTGGTCTTGGCAAATCGCTAGTATATAAACTGTACAACAGCGGAGATAAAACTGCACCCTGAGGAACACCAGCTTCAATGGGCTTGATACCAGATCGTTGATCATGAAGTTTTACTTGAAAAGTTCGATTTTTCAGAAATGAACACATCAACTGAATCAAATCGTCAGGAAAGCCCATATTGATCATTTTGTATAAGATACCATCATGCCACACCTTGTCAAATGCTTTCGCTATGTCAAGGAGAGCAAGATGGGTCTTTTGTCTATCATTTCTCAACTATATTGTGTTCTCAATGAGTCTCAAGACTTGTAGTTCAGTTGAGTGGCCAGTTCTGAAACCGAACTGCTCATCTGGTATAAGCTCGTTGTCGTCGATAAATTCCTGTAATCTCTGTTTAATCACTCGCTCAGTTATCTTAGATGGAGAGCACAGGAGACTGATAGGACGATAGCTCTGCGGAAGAGCATTATCCTGGCCTTGCTTCTTAAGCATCACTGCTTCGGCATGCTTCCATCTTTGAGGGAAATATAATAGTTTCAATATGGCGTTGATGATTTTACATAAGTAAGTGATGAAATTACCAGGAATCCTTTTACAGACTGCATAGGTACTTGTTCTCTTCATCAATACAAAGGTGGATAGTCTATTTTCATCATGATCAATACACTCATAGGCACGTAGAGAGAAACACTATACGCTAGACTTTTGTCTTTGCTCAAAACTATTCTGTAGATCCACTTCTGAAACGAGTTCTGAAACAGAAAAATTACAACTGGCCTCAGGGTACTTTCCCTGACTGAAGAAGACGAACCGGAGTCGAAACAAGCCACAAACTCAACAGGTTTTCGAACCAATGAAGAAAACTTTTGCTTCTTTGGATTCTCAGACTTTTGCTTTTGAACAAAAGGGTCAAACGCGCCACAAAATTCATGGAGATTCGCTAAATTCTCAAAAGCTCTTTTGTTTTTGTCAAATGAATCCGAAGCAGTTAACTGGGATTCGGGTTTCACCTTAAACCAACGATATTTTAGGATGCAATGTGTGAGCTTTCGACCTTCCGGGTCTCATCAGTTAGGCGAAGAAGCCTAAGAGCTGATTTGATTATTAAACATACACAGTCCGCATACTTGTTAATTTTCAACACGCATATGAACACCCACGTTGAACAACGCTGAACAACAAGCAAAGAATAAACAAACACGCAGACAAACACAAAGTTTTTGTTAATGTTAGTTACAAATATACAAATACGTAGATAGAAACAAACACGTTCAATAACAAGCACGCAGATGAACAAACATGCAGATTTTGCATATTCGTTAGTTACACACAAACAAATCCACAGATGGAAACACAATTGAATGAACAGACGGAAGAAACACACAAATTCACGGAGAAGTAGATCAAAAACATACAGACGAACAAACACCCTAATAAACTGGGCGTCAATTGAAACGTTAATAGTGAAATTTGGCATCAAGTTTGACTTCTCGTAATTTCTAAAATATTGAACAAATTTTGAATTGCCGCCCAGATTCTGAATGCCTTTTTCATTCTTTCGAACCGTTCCTTACAGCTTCTTCTAAATTCATCAGAACCCGTGATACAGGGTGATACAATGTTTCGTGCATTTTGAAAAAAATTTCTCCGCCCCCCCCCCCATTTCGTCGGAAGACCACAATGCTCATATTTCATTCAGGAATTTCATAAATAGCAACCATACCTCGGGACATTTTCGAGTGTTTGCCAAAAACTACTGTGGTTTCCAAAAAATTTTTTTTTCGCATTTTCTTCAAATGGACTAATTTTAGAGGAGTACATTACTACCTGCATCCTCGAAACAATGAATCAGTCTATTTATTGTCATGATTGGGTATATCCTAATCGTCGTAACCTGAAATAATAATTATCTGTACTGAATTATAGTTTATATCACTATAGTGATCTCACCTAATGATATTTTCCATTTCGACCCGATTTGAACGAGGCATCTTTAAATTTTTTAGGACCCGAATAACACTGACGTTTTCATGAAAATTGGCAATTGATATAAGCTCTATGCATACCTACATTGTTTCAACAATACGTTGTTATAGAAACAAGGTATCGTTGTTTGTTTTTGTTGATGAGATGTGTTGATTTACTGCTCACTAAGGTAGAAAACTTTTATCATAGACTGCGAAGTAATAAATTATTGATTGTTTTTGAGTAACCTGGTATACATATCTGCTCCAACGCTTTCCTGAAATGCATAAAACACTCGAGAACTTCCCGAGGTATGGTTGCTATTTATGAAATGCCCGAATAAAATATGAGCATCGTGGTCTTCCGACGAAATGGGGGGGCGGAGAAATATTTTTCAAAATTCACGAAACTTTGTTTCACCCTGTATCACGGGTCCTGATCAATTTAGAAGAAGCTGTAAGAAACGGTTCGAAAGACGATGAAAAAGGCATTTAGATTCTGGGCGGCAATTCAAAATTCGTTCAATATTTTAGAAATTACGAGAAGTCAAACTTGATGCCAAATTTCACTTATAACGTTTCAATTGACGCCCAGTTTAGATATAAAAACACTCTAGTTCAATTACAACAAACACTGCATACTTTTGAGTCTTCAATACACAAATAGGTACGTAGAGAAGAACACTTACGCTCAATTGCAAACACGAAGATGAACACCCGCGTTGAGTATAACAAACACGCTGAATATCAAGCACGTGAATGAGCAGACACGCAGATCAACAAAACACGCGAAAGAACAAACATGCAAATGAACAAACATACACAGTCCGCATACTTGTTAGTTCAACACACTGAACTATAACCCAGGGTTACAGTCCAGTGGTTCAACATGCAGATGAACACCCACGTTGAGTATCAAACACGCTCAACATCAAGCACACAGACAAACACGCCGACAAACACATAACGTGTTTGTATTCGTTAGTCACAGATATACAAATAGTTTATAGAAACACACACTTTCAATAACAAACAACAAACACGCAGATGAACAAACACGCAGAGTTTCCATATTCGTTAGTTACACACAAACAAATCCACATCAGATCAGGGGCGTATTTACCTAAGGGCCAAAAGGGCCATGGCCCGGGGCGGCAGGCTGCGAGGGGCGGCGCAAGCCGCACCACGCTTAGGTTTTTTTTTACTTTATTCCTCCGAAGAAATTAGCGTCGGCGGCACACAGTTAGATTACTCCGTGTCCGTGAAGCTACAAAGTTTTTTGCGTTGCTGCAAAATCTATACGTATTTTTTACAGCATCAACGGAGCGTACAAAACTACTGCAATCATTCTTAACTAAACCTGAAAATGTAACTGTGAAAAGTTTATCACAAACGCGATGGTCAGCGAGGGACGATGCTTGTACCAGCCTTAATAATGATTGGAGCCAGATAATAGCGGCTCTTGAAGCTATAAGAAGTGACTCTGCATACCACAAAGCCTTGGTTAAAAATGAAGCGGCTGGGCTATTAGCTCAACTAAATTCTCTAGAAACTGCCATATTATCGGAATTTTGGGGATCTGTATTAAAACGATTTGGTATAGTTTCCAAAATACTACAAGGTGTCGACACAGACGTAGAAGTAGTTTCCAGGCTTTACAAGTCACTCATTACTTTTGTAGAAGAACAACGGGAATCTTATGATACTTTTGAAAAGGCTGGTAAAAGAAAATGCACAGAAGAATACCGGAACATTCACAATAGAATTGTCAAGAGAAAGAAACGAGACGATGAGAGTAGCGAGGGAGAAGTGGTGTTTCAAGGACGGGATCATTTCAGGGTTAATACCTTCTTTCCAATATGCGACCGATTATTGGGCGAGTTAAGGAAGCGAAAAACTTCGTATGAGGCGGTAACCGCCAATTTTGCATTTTTATGCAAATTGGATACAATGTCTGCTTCAGAAGTGAGATTAAATGCCATAAAACTCCAAAAAGTTTAC